TAGGCGCTGCCTCGTCGGGGCTCCTGCCGGGTGCGGCGACCCCGCCTCCGAATTCTCCTCTTTGAATTAATTTCTCGCTCGAAGTTGCACCCCTTTTCTGCGACCTGGTTTTGCGGGGGATTCCCTGACGGGGTGTTAAGGGAGCTGCCTACTGTTAACTCTCTTTGTTTCCTTTTCTAGACAGTTTTTGGCTGCTGTTTCGCCCGCAAGAGCCAAAGCTTTGTTAAGTTTTTGACGCTACCGATCTTGGTGAAGTTTCCTCAGAAGCGGTGCTGGTCGTCTTAGCTTGCTGTCTGCGCCGCTGAAATAATGTAGCGGAAATGATAGCCGAGCCCAACGCAGCCGGTAGCCTTCCCAGCCAAAAGTAAGAAGACCTGTCTTATCAAATTTGTTGGTAAATTTTCCATCCCTTGAATTTGTGCCTGGTGGATGGCGGGGCAGCCGACAATGCGTCGTTTTGGGTGGGAGGGAAGTAAAAAGGGATTTGCTGTGCACTATGTCTTGTTACTAATGTCTCTGTTTTATTCTCTTTTATGTATTGTTTAGCGTCTTTTTAATGTAGTGTTTTATGCTGATTGACAGGGACCTTGGCCTTGCAAGCCTTTCCGTGCTTTATTCACTACAGTGCAAATGAACCTACTTTTTACTTTGAAAAAAAAAAAAATAATGGGCAGATTCATAGCCAAGGCATGTGTTCACTTCAGTGGTGAATTTGGGGATGCTAAGGGGAAGAGTGCTAAGTAATCTGTAGTCTCCCTGTTGGCATTGAAGGGGGCATTGCTTCTCTGTAGCTGTTTTTATCAGGGATACATCAAGTCTCCTCCCTTTCATAATGTATTTTTTCAGTCATCAGTTGAGATGGTCTGTAAGCCAAATGTGTTCATATAATTGTTCAGAGAATAGTATTTAGATGCTCTACTTCTGCTAGAGCAGATAGAAATAAAGGTAAAGTTAAAATATTGGGCATATCTTGTCTCGTTTCAAAGAGCGAAGCTTCTTAGATGTCCAGTGTTGCATGCTTTGAACTCGTTGCAGCCTTTTTGCTCTTTGCTGATCCTGTCGCCTTCTGAGCAAGTCTGCTTCAGGTCTTTTGCTTCATTAAGCTCTAACGAAAGCTGAGAGATGTATTCCTTGTAGCCCGTGATGACGATTAATATAGCTTCCCATATGTCCTTTCCAGTATGTTTCATCTGAAGCCAGTTTCATAGTTTCAGAAGTGTCAGGAAGGCACCTGGCAATTGTTTAGCTGAGCTTCTTATGTTGCTTTGAAAAGATGAAGCAGTTGTATTGAAATTTGTAATTTTAAAAATCTGCAGGTAGGATTCTTCCAGTAACATGGATTAGTTATTCCTTTGGCTGTGTAAAAGGAACATGTTATCTGTTTGTTAAAGAGGTACCTTTATTTTTAAGTGTGAGTGTCTAAATCTGCTCTATATGTTTATTAAGATGAGCAAACTGAATTCAGAAATTCTCACAATAGTATTGTGTTTGAGGACTAGATGAAGGATTTTGCTTCCTTCCTACTTAAAGTTTTTTTGTCTTATCCGTAATACTTCAAGTGCTAGTGAAAGGACCATAGTGTGGCAGGAATGTGAGCTAAAAATGAGTCTATGAGCCATATGTAACACGGTATAAAGGCGAAAATTAAGATGAGATAGGAATGGAATTCTGCCTATGCTTTCTTACTGATTGCTGACGGAAACAAAGTAAATCGCTGAGCACTGTTTCTTACCAGTGCATGAGGCAGTGAATTTAGGTATGCAGAAATGCTTGGTATGCTGTAGACTAACAGAGAGGAAGAAAAAAACCAACAAACTCTAGTTCAAAATTTGTCAAACCTACTGTTGCACTCCTATAGTTGAAAAGACGTTAAATGGAGTTACGTGTAAGGATCGCTGCAGAAGCGATCACATGTCATCCTCAGGTAGGTACAGTGGTTCCTATTTTGCTGTAGAACGTAAGAGGATGTCTTAATTCTTTTAACAGTTTCTTCAACGGAAACTTAGTTGTGCAAATAAAACTCCATTAAAATATCGCATTTAATTTCTAAGTGGTTTTGTGGGGTTCAGTTTCTAGGTTCTGCTCTGGTTCCTGCAAATGTTTAAGTACCTGCCTTATGAATAGCCTTACTGGAAACAGCAGTATTAAAAGAAGAAGAAAGAAGAGAAAGGAGAAACATGAGTCTTGGCAATATCTGGATTTAAAAAAGCCTCTACTTCTGTGTAGGTTGTCTGTTGTAGCATGGTGCTGCCTGTGGCATTGCTATGTGCTGTGGTGGACTGATAACTCGAAACAGCTCAGGAATGAAATGGCTTTTTAATATTAGTGCATAGTTATGTTTGTTGAGTGTTTAAGACGGATGTTTAGCGCATGTGTGAAAGTTACTCTAACTGGTTTCATCACAGAGGTACTGTTTTACTCAATGTTGTTAGCCCAACGTGAGGAAGCTGTAGATCAACGGTCTTCTCATTCTTGCAGGTTTTGCTGAGCTTTGGTAAGCATGC